TGATGTGAGAGGTGAGTCTCCACTTTGTTTTGGTTGTTTTGGCGTCAACATCATCCTAGCGTGCCGACACCTCTCTCTCCCTGGCTGCAGCTGAAGTGTGGCGGTCAGAAAGCCTGTTGCTCAACGTTCGACAAGCACATAGTAACGCACAACCTTCCGTCCCCAGTAACGGTAACGGCGTTGTAACGGCGGGAAAAGTAATTAATTAGATTATTCCGTTACCTATAAAAGAACGCCGTTAGAAACGCCGTTATACTTAAACGTTGTTACTCCCAACACTGGTGAAGACCTGTCAAAGTCTCTGAAATGTCATATCCCAACCACCCCCTCTCTTTGTTTACTGGGAAACCTGGACGATGTCCCGGTTGAAACATCTTTGGTTCACGTGGTTCTGACTGCCATATGCATCGCTAAGAAAACTATCCTCTTGAATTGGAAAAATAGAGAAACTCTCTGCATTAACCAGTATAGAAATATTTTGTTAGATCATATTACACTTGAAATAGCCTCTTCTTCCACTTCAGATCAATCTCTCTGGGCTCCTTTGATCGGTTCCATCACATAGCGAGGGTGGGCGGCCGTTGATGTTGTCCTGCGGGATGGTGTGGGTGGGGGGGGTGTGGGGTCTGAGTTTGGAGTATCCGGATGTTCCCTGGAGGTGGGTTCACTGGGGGTGTCTGGGACTGGGGGGCCGTTGCCCCCGTCTGGAGGTGCTTGGGTTGCCTCGGGGGGTGGACTACTGGCGGTTGTGAGTGGGGCTCCTTGGGGATCTTAGCGGCGACCATGGGTCACTGCCTGGCAGCTGCATTGCCCCTGGGCGGGTCTGGGTGGGGGCCTGGGGGCTCGGGGTTTGGGGGTGGCCGGCCCCATGTGGGGATCTGGGCGGGGCCTTGGGGGTCGGGTCCTGATATGTATGCTGCCGGGAAGAAGGCAGGAACATGCAGCAGTGCCTGGCCCCAGTTCAGGGGCCTCAGTTAGACCTTGATTCCTCTGCTGTTCCATCACAGGGGAGGGGGAGGTCCAGGAGGGGGAGGACCCAACCTTACCTGGATGTCCCATGTCTTATATATTCTGGAAGTTGTGCAAATGCAGGGATGGGCATAGATATTCTGCTGGGGTGGGGCTGGGTTGGTGCCCTCGGACTCTGTGAGTCTCTGTAATGCTGCTGCTTTGGGCCCTGGTAGGATGGGCTGGGGTCTCCATGCCCTGGGTGGCAGTTTGACAACAGAGGTTCCTATTGGGGCCAGTAGGGGAGCTGGCTCCATGGAGGGCTAAGCCCAACCAGCCATTCCTCCCCATCCCCGCATATTTCTCTCCTCCTGCTCCCTCACATCATCACACAAACATAAACATAGGATCTTGGGGGGTGGGCAAGTCAGGGAGTGCGGGTATGGACCCCATTTCCGCATTCCTGTGGCAACCTGCCCCCCAATTTTATTTGCACCTTATACACTTCCACTGACGACATTCCACACAAACACACACTTAGGGCCTTGGGAGTGAGCACATTCAACGGCATTTGGCAGGGGGATATTTCAGCCTCCTCCTGGGTGCCAGTGCCCACTTCCAATTTTAATCCGCACTTAGACACCGAGGGCTGAGGGTGTAAGTGGGGTGGTGCGGTGGCATCAGCTGGCATAGGCCGTATGATGCCTGCACTGCCCGCTCACCACAGCCATGGAATACACCTCATGATCACACAACACTATATTGGAGCAGGCGGAGGGAGACTAGGGGTCTTAACGCACCTCTGTTGTTGCTAGGCTTCCTGGGGCTGGAGGCTAGGAGGGAGATCTGGCCGTCTGGTTGGGGTCTGGGGTGGTGGGTTGCTGTGCTCAGCACTGGGCGGGGGAGCCTGCTCATCAGCACCCCAGCAGAAAGGGTCCAACTCTGATGGTTGTACCCACTGTGCAGCAGTACCGGTACCAGAGTGAATAGGATGTGTATGGGGAGCATGAGTGGGTGTCCGGCATGCATTTTTGTAAGTCTTGGGTTGTATGTACATGTGTGAGCATGAGGGAGGGAGTGTGTGACTGTGTTTGTGTATGACTGTATATGTCAGGTGGGGCCTTTGACTCCTCCCCTCTCCTGGAACTTCTCTTGATGATATGGATCTTCGTCCCCCCTCCCCCTGCCACACCTGGTGTGAGGAGTTGTGCCTTGGTCTGCCTGAGTGTTCGTGGCAACCGGTTCAGGAGGTTTAAAATTTTGGCATCTGCCTGATAGATCCCGGTGGCTGCCTGGTAGGGTCTGGGTCCCTGGGCTCTGCTGGGTCCCCGGTGGGGGTGGTCGCCCCTGGGTCCCGGGTCGCTGGGTCCCGGGTCGCTGGGTCCCGAGCTCGGCCGGCTAGGGGGTGGGAGGTTGCGGGCGGGCCTGTGGGCTTGCCAATGATGTCTCCCAGGACTCTGCTGGCTGCTGGTTGTGGCCCCCCGGGGCGATCCTCTGTGCCTCTTGAGGGGGGCGGGGGCCTTTCTGGTTGCAGTCTCCTTGGAGTTCCTGTGTTCTGGGGCAGCTTCTGGATCTCTGGACTTGGAGCTCCCCCCGTCTCCTACGTATCTTTGGGGGGGCAGATCTGTGGTCCCTCACACTCTCTATTGGACGCTCCTATAGAGAAACCTTACATAAACAAGCGCGTGTACACACACAGGTGCTCACATGGTGCTTTCAAAAGTATGGCCTTGGGCACGTTAAACACAGGTCTTAAGACTATGGTGGGCACTTAATGCACTGTGATTTATTATCGTGATTCTCCAGTTAAGCAATGTTGATTATATATTTCTTCATCAAGTTGACGCAGTGATAGCTTGATCTTGTTGTATTGTTGTTGTGTCCCATTTTTTTTTTGTTCTTTTGCTTTTTTTTGTCTTTTTCTGCAGGTCTAGAAGCAGACTCTTGTTCATTATTGTTTATTTTTGTGGACCCCCCCCCCTCCTCCTCCTCCTCCTCTCTCCCCACCTTTTCTTTTCCTTTCTCTTTCACCTCTGTCTCCGTGTCTGGTCGGAATTACAAAGCATTCAAAAACAATAACAATAAAGTTTTAAGTATCAGGCGTGACATTAAAAGCAAACGCTTTGATGCACCACCTGAGAGTAAATCTGTAAGGCTTGACACCAGCATTCAGACATCAATTCTGTTTGCTTCACAGCCAGACAGGACGCGGCAAAAAAAAAAAAAAAAAAAAAAAAGTAACCATCTAAATTGACCACAAGATAACCTTTCATTTGCAGACAAACCCACTATCTATCTGGCCTCCAAACCCAGAAAGTTCTGCTCAGTGATTGTTTGCAAACAAGAAGACATAACAAAACTGTCAAGGTCTCCTGCAAAGGGTCTGCAATCTCTGTGTAAAAGCCAGACTGCTGATTCCTCACCCTAAATAAAAATCAAACCTACTTGAAGCTCTGACAGGACTTTACAACTCATAAGCTTAAATAATCACATGTGTTGAATAAACAAGATGTTTAAATCAAATGTTTGAATAACCTGTGCTTAAACCATGATGGCTTTTAAATGAATATTGCTCTTACAATGATCCATTTTAAAGCTTACCCACACCAGATCAGAGTGTGTTTATTTTACTAGGTAATCATTATCTACACTTATACACATTACAATAAGATACTCATTAATGTAATACTCACCTCACATAAGAGTTTTAAAACATTCTAATTCAGAAAGTCTTAAAACATTTTTGAATCTGAACAACGCGTGTCTTCTGAGAAATCTTTTGGTAAGCCCTCAAGACATGGCACATTCTATTTTGTGGGAATGCTCCAAAATGTATAAACAATGAGTTTATTAAAACAAGAATTACTTCCTGACGAATTCAGTTTCCAGCTGATTCTTGAACCGGCCAATTCGGGGAAAAAGCCTCTATTGAAACCATCTCGTTTGACCTCCAGCCAAAGCCCGCCTGCGACGCTGCGAGTGATTACAGACCAAACAGCTCTTTTCAGAGCTACTTTACACCTCAGACATCTAACCTGCAGACCCCGGGTTGCATCTCATGTCTGGTGAAGCTGAACTCAGAGGAAGCAACTAATCCCTACGTTGCGGTTTCGACATCCAATGACCTCACCACTCGGACCGCATCCCTCCGGACCGCCGAGAGCAACTCATACCAAGGGTATCGTACGCCTGCACACTGGAGTCTGATGAGTTTAAACAATCAACTCTCTAGTTATAAACAAACAACAAATTATTTTACAACCCAGACTTCACAACTTCTCTCAGATACAAAGAATGGTTTTGCTAAAACATCTAGCTTCCATCACACCACCTCACACATCACATTAAATTACTTCATATCCATCACACCACATCTCATTATTCATATCTTCTCATGTATAAATTATTAGTCAAAGAGCCCTAGAATCTTCTGCGCTGCCATATTTTGAACCATTTGGAGCTGAGCTATAGCACCCTTGCTAACTCCAGAGTAGAGGGAGTTGCAGTAATCTGAGAGGTGATGAAAGCATGGATTACTTCTCCAGGTGATCCCGTGACACTAGTGGCTTAATCCTGGATATAAGTCTGCTACTGGAGCTGACCTGATTTCTGTTTTTGTCTTACAGATCCGTCTGAAAACATTTTAAATACAGTTTTTAGATTAATCCAGCTTAAAAGGTGAAACTAATGACAAATTAACTTCTGCATATGATTCTCGTTTCAGCTGAGCTAGCTTCCCGTTGGGCTGCTCCCACAAAGACGTGCAACTCAAGTGCAGAGAGGGTTGTGTACAGCAGGGGGAGATGTTCAGAAGAGCGGTTTGATCCAATCATAAGAGCAGGGACCAGCACAATGATTGGGCTGGATTCCTCCATCACTTTCAATTTTTTTTCTTTTTTGACCAAACATTCATTTTTATTAGCGTTGGCATTGATATCAGTATGTGCAGAAAAATCCAGTCCTGAAGTAAAATGCTCAAAAAAAAAAAAAAACCAAACTGCACCTTAAGTCTAATATTAGTTTGTAAAAAAGAAACCATGAAGACAAAGACATGAATGCATGTGGTTTTATTGATGTTTCTTCTGAGACTCAAACTTGGTGCTTGATTCAATGCCAGGGAAACCACCTAACTGTAAGAAGAAAACCACAAATTAACTCTGTTGCACAACAGTGTTTCATGTCAGAAAACTGCAGGATTGAACTGGTTCCTACTCACAGCGACACCTGTAGATCACGTCCAGGTACTTGAAGGTTCCCACGCAGGGGTCTCCAAAAACCTCGTTACTGGCTGTGATGCTGCAGCTGTTTTCCCCGTTACAGCTGTGGATGAAGAGCAGCAGGAGAACCAAACATTAACGTTTTATCTCCGCTTTAATCCTGGACTTCAGAGAAAAAGAGAGAAACGGTACTTTGAAGCAACAATATCAGAGAGAGTGGAGCAGGAGGTGTCTTGGAGCTGAGATGGAGGACGTCCGGCGGAGCAGGTGGTTTTGTCATGACGTCCATAGTCAGCAGACAATATGGAGATGACAAATCCTGGAGCTGAGGTTAAAGGTCAAGCAGAACAGTTTTAACATGCCAACTTTCTGGGAGTCAAAGGTAACTAAAGGAGAGCAAATAAACGAATCCTGGGACAGGAAACGTTCCTCACCGCCGTCTCCACCAGCGAACGCTAAAGAAATGAGCTGGTATCTAACCTGAAGGGTTTGTGTGAGACCAGAGGAAACCAGAGGCTTACCACACGTCAGCTCGACCGTTGAATGCTCACATAGGATGAGATGATCTGTCAAAAAATATGAACTAAATCAGATGTTTTATAGTTTCATAAACAGTCATGATGCTTTCATCTGAGAAGCTGCTGCAGTAAAATAAAAAAGAACCTACTTCTAAACAAAGCGTCACAAAACATCTGTGGATGTAAAAAACAAAGAGTCAGAACCAGAATGAAGCCAGTAGAAACACATTTCTATGTGGACTGGTCGGACTGGTGGAGCTGGGAGCTCTAAGATAAATCATTGGTGTTATTTTAAATCTGAGCGTTTAGCTGAAAGAGGATCGTCTGTAAAACATGAACGAAGCTTCTTCTTCGTTGGTTTTAAACACGTTTCATTGGTTCGTTTCTCATCAGGTCATCATGAGAAAATAAATCCACCAAAGTCACATTCATGCTGATTATTTAACTACAGAAGAACTTCTGCTGACTCACATTTCCTCCGATCCCGAGGAGCAGCAGGAAGAGCAGACCTGACGCCATCTGGGTAGAACGTGTCATTTTAGTGTTCAGGAGGAAAATCCACATTAAAAGACTTTTCTAAAAACTCTGACGTGGATATCATCACTAGCAGTAACAGCTGATGAAGAGAGGTCAGGGTTTACCTTGTTGTGATGAATCCAAGCAGCAGCAGCAGCAGTCTCTGGGTGAAGGATGCCTTCCTGAACTAAACACAGAGTTTATATACCGTTGCTCCAGCTGGTGGACCTGTCAGTCACTGAGGACAGCTGATTAGATAAACATGAAGACCACGGGGCAAACACACCCAACCCTAACCCAGGTAGTACTGGGACTGGTCAGTGTGGGTCAGCAGCAACGACCACACCTGAAGCTGCTTCACGTATCTGACTTCACCATCTCTCTGTCTCTTTGTGTCTCCAGCCCAGCAGGTTGGTGCTGATGGAGCACGATGCTGAGGTTTTCTAAGATAAGGTTTAGGTCAACTGTCCTGTTGTTGACAAGAAGCTTTTAGTATAATCTGGGTTATAATCTGGGTTTGACAGCATTTTAACAGATTCTTTTTTGTTAAACTGGGGTCACTCCCTATTTACAAGCTTAGCTTCTGTGTTTGTGCCTGTAGGGATTGTCAGTATTGCTGCACATCTTCTAGAAGACGGGACATTATTGTGTGGCTTTGATAAAGGATGCAAACTGAAGGTGTTCAGCTTGATCATGATTATTCCTCTTTATGTCACCAAAAAGTATAATCATGGTCTGTCGAACTAACGAGGACAAAGAGATCAGATTTCCTGACTTCAAGTTATCTGGCTCTGTTTTAAGTGTTTCAAATGAGGTGAAGTATCTGGGTCATGTGTTGACAGCCTGTCCGTTGAAGAGGACATTTATCGTCAGCGCTGAATGTTATATGCACAAGCTAATGTACTGTGTCGTAAATTTGGATTTTGTTCTGTTAACGTCAAACACAGCACATTTATGGTGGAACTATAAAACAGCCAGTATCCAGAGACTGCAGGTGGCTTACAACGATGCATTAAGACTTCTGGTAAAAAAGCCCAGATGGACCAGTGCTAGTGAACTGTTTGTTTCTGTCAGGGTTAGCACATTGAAAGCTGTTTAAAGAAATTTCATGTATGAATTTATATGCCGTCTTAATGTGTCCAAGAACAGTGTCATCCTAGCTCAAACTAACACCAGATATAGTGCTGTACGCTACACCTCTAAACTATGGAAGCACTGGTAGGATCGTCTCTTGTAGGATACTGCTCTTCTTTTAACGAGTTTGTTGTTTTCTTCTTAATGTCACCTTTGTATATTTTTCTATGTATTTTTTGGACTGTGAGTCTGCAATAAAGGCTACTACTACATTCTCCGCCATTCCCCTAAAGGATTACAACATTTTAGGCTTCATTTCAAAGTTTGAGAGTGTTTATTGTCACAAATCCAAATTCTGGACAAGGTTTCTCCAGCCATCATACTTAACTGATGTTCAACACGCCATCTTGCTTAGAAGTACCCTGGGAGTAAGATAGTAATGTCTGTGGAGGCAAAGCAAAGAGCTAAACCCAGAGTGCCTAAACCCAGAGCCTCCCTGCACTGGCTTCCGATTTGCTATCGCTCACAATTCAAAATACTCGTCTTTGTTTATCATTTCTTCCAGGGTGGTGGTCCCCCCTATCTGGCCCCTCTCCTGAACAGACACTCCCCATCACGCACTCTGCGCTCCTCTGACCAAGGCCTGCTCGCTGTCCCTCGGTCTAGGTGTCGTACCCGTGGGGACCGGGCTTTCTCAGTCCTAGCACCGTCACTCTGGAACCAGTTGCCACCCTCAGTTAGGCTGTCCCCTTCTCTGCCAGTCTTTAAGAACCACCTAAAAACACACCTCCTCCGCTTGGCGTTTCCAGAACATGTTTGATTTTGGCCCTCTATTATGTTGAATCCATTCCACAGTTTTCATTGGTACACTCAATCCATCCACTCAATCCAAATGTGTTTCACACATTTGTATTTTACCGGAATGTTTCTTCTATCTTGTAATTTCCATTTTGTATTTTGTAATTTGTATTTTGTAATTTGAATTTCTTTTATTGTTGATTTATTCAATATAATTACTTACAACTGTACCATGTTCAGCGCTTTGGGCTTCCTGACAGGGTTGCGGAAGGCGCTATATAAATAAAGCTTTGATTGATTGATTGATTGATTGAGTGAACATCGGAGCAGCCTACGCTAGCTAAAGGAGGCTATGAAACCACGGACCAACGGTAACCTGGCTTTGTTGCTACTGGACTTGTTAGTAAAAACATTTTTGTACAACTGTTTGGATCTTTTTACTTTGTGGTTTATTTTAGTATTAGTTGGCTCATGTTATGTCTTCTTCTTCCGGCTCTTGGCGGGTTGCTGACGCTTTTTTCCTCCTCTCCTCCATATCTTATCCTCAAGGCCTTTGTCTGTCTGTGTGTGCTGGGTGCACGGCTGCTTCTGCATTTTTCTGGAAACTGGAAACTAAAATACACTTAAATTAATCTCGTCAGCTGGTCTCTCAACGCGACTGACACATTTTTTTCAACGATGAGAATGGGAGAAGGGGCTCCTGGATGTCCTGCCGGTACAGACCCAGTTGGACACATCATGGACTCCTGGAAACAGTGGAACTTGATTTGTTTATCTCAGCAGTCTGTGGAGGACTCTTAAGACGTGTGGATATTCGTGGTGTTGGTGTCAGGTTTCCTGCTCATTGGTCTTGGAGGCTACCTGGCTTACCGGAAAATTAACGAGCTGTCGAGGAATATTGGCCTGATCCCGGAGCTCAGAGATGGTTTGCACCGCGCTGTGAATTCACAGACTCACATAATTGTTCGTAAGCTTGGAACTTTGGCCGAGATACATTCTTTGACACAAAAGATGGATGCCATCAAGGAGAGAGTGGATGAATCAGCATGGATTGGGATAGTTTAATGTCCATTATTGGGATTTTGAGAGGTTGAGGACCAACAAACTGTAAGACAGAGAGGAAAGTATCTCTGTCGGGCCCCAAAACAATTTCTAATCGGAATCTGGCGTCCTTGAGCCTGCGAGGCTCCAACAAAAACTCCCCCCTCAGAAGATATGTGGAATGTGCCGTCGCTATGGCGACTCAACTCTGTCTCCTTTCCCAGCTTGGGCGAAACAGTGGGAAGGCCGCTGAAGTGTCCAGGGTCACTGCAACCCTCCCAACCCTCAATCCCCCCCCCCCCCCCCCCCCCCGAAGTCTGTTGCATTTCTGTCTGAGGTGTTTTTTTGCAGAGCAAAGCTGCCCTCCCAGTGGAGGGTAACTCTGAAGTGCCTTTTTTTCTTCCACCTGAACAAATCCTCATGTAACCCTCTTATCTCTATTAAGGTAGCGCAACTCAGGGTTGCGAATTATCACAGTCACCAATTCTTGTCATTTGACTACGACACACATTCACTGTGGCACTGTTTCCATATATGTTTGATCTCTGAATTGTGTGCACTGAAACTCTAATTTCCCTCTGGGACTAATAAAGTATCTTTGATTTGACTGATTGGTTTGATTAGTGTTAGCTCGTTGTTAGCACTAGCTACAGCAGGCTGCAACAGGATTGTTTACGACAGTTACAATTCCACTTTGAACCAGTAGGGCTGTGGAGCAGGAACCTGCTGTGCTACTTTAACTGATGGATGTGAATAGAAAACTGGGACAGGTGAGCTGATGGGAAACAGGTGTGCACATTTAACGAGTGGGGAGCTGGTGGGAAACAACTAAAGACACACAGATCAGGCCTTTTTTGCTCCATCGTGCTCCATCAGCACCAACCCGCTGGGCTACAGACACAAAGATAGAGAGAGACGGTGAAGTCAGATACGTGAAGCAGCTTCAGGTGTGGTCGTTACTGCTGACCCACACTGACCAGTCCCAGTACTACCTGGGTTAGGGTTGGGTGTGTTTGCCCCGTGGTCTTCATGTTTGTCTAATCAGCTGTCATCAGTGACTGACAGGTCCACCAGTTGGAGCAAAGGTAAACTGCCCAGCCAAAATAAAAGGTCACACACTAATATTTGGCTGGACCACCTTTAGCTTTGATTAAGACACACATTCGCTGTGGCACTGTTTCCATAAGCTCAGCAACATCACCGGATTCATCTCCATCAGTGTTGCATTAATGTCTCACCAAGATCTTGCATTGATGATGGTAGAATCTGACCTCTGCACAAAGCCCTCTCCAGCACATCCCAAAGATTTTCCATGGGGTTTAGGTCTGGACCCTGAACCACTCTTTTACTATCTATCTAAGTCCGATGAATCCTGGCATTGTCATATTGGAATATGCCCATGCCACCAGGAAAGATGGAATAACCTGGTCATTCAGGATATTCAGGTAGTCAGCTGACCTCATTTTTGGAGCACTTCCTGTTGCTGAACATAGACCTGAGCAACTGCAGCAAGCCCATATCATAGCACTTCCCCCACAGGCGTGTACAGCAGGCACTAGGCATGATGGGTGCATCACTTCATCTGCCTCTCTTCTTACCCTGATGCAGAATGGTAATTGGCCTGTATTTGATACAGCGCCCTCTATAGCCCTTGAATCCTCCAAGGTGCTTTACAACACAGACATTCACTCCCTGGTGGGGATGAGTTACATCATAGCCACAGCTGCTCTGGGACACACTGGCAGAGGCGGGGCTGCTGAGAACAGGCGCCACCGGTCCCTTCAACCACCAGAAGGCAAGGTGGGTTGAGTGTCTTGCCCAAGGACACAAGTTTCAGAGCCGGACTAACACATAGGCAAAGTAGACACGTGCCTAGGACCTGATTGGCTGGATGGGGCCGAGACAGAGGGACAAAATAAAAATAAATTAATTAAAAATAAAATGTACAAATGTCCTATGATAGAGTTTGTGGATAGGACTCCTATCTACAGTTTATTTCAATATTTATTAATTAACTAAAAATAGTGACAATGTTTATCTAAACCATAGACTGTTACATTAGCTACGTCACATTAACGCCAGCCCATGACTGTAGCCTACAACTTGGGCGCCACCCAATTAAGGATGTCAGGGAAACGGTCAGAGTCAGAGCGGGACACAACAAAGCTAGCAGGTGTTTTTGAGTAGGCTAACTTTCACGATGCTTCCGGGTGCGACAAAATGAAAAAAGGAAAAAAAATGAAGAGGAACAAAAGAAGAGACAGCGGGGGGCTTTACAGACCTTTCTGCCGGACTGCTCGGGCAGCCGTCCGACAGCTGTCAACCTGCTCAAGTCAGGGCCCAAGCCAGACCCGGAGGAGACACGGCCTGAAGATGCGGCGGAAGACGCTGTAGCGCCAACGCCGTCAACATCAACGCTGTCGCAGAAGGTCAAACTGGAAGAACAGCAGCCAGCCAGAAGTGAGCCCAATATAGTCTTACAGCAGAAGCCTCTAGACCCAGAAAGGGTGTAAACAAGCTACCCTTCTGATCCTGCAAAGTGGTACCAAACTGATGACAGGATGTGTGAGTACTTTGCACTAAACCAGGGGTGTCAAACATGC